CACCTCTTCTCTTCACTCTCTTTCTGCAGGTAAAGTAATCTGCTCGCCCATTATACGCCGATTCCGAACAACTTTTATTCACCTTATTTATGTGAGAAGAGCATACTGCCACCACCATATTTCGGCGTTGAACTTGCTCGTTATAATGTGTGTCGTTTCAATTTCACTAACTGCCCTCTGCAAAGATTAATTTGTATCAAAGGCAATGGCGTGGCTTAATTTATTTGCCTTTTTCAGTTCAGTTCATATTGAATTCTATCGATGGAAGGGAGTAATTTATTTGGAGGAGAGAGCAAGAACAAGTGAGAGGAGGGGATGCTTCGGCGCCGTGCAGGGCAGTAGCCCTTTGGCGCGCGAATGTGCTCAAGGAGAGGATCGCTGCTTGGCAGTGTTTGTCGTGATCAAAATAGCATCGATTGCTTTGCTCAGCCTGTCTGTCTGTCTGCCAGTACTGCCACCGTACCATAGTCACACACACAACCACGAATTAGTTTGTATAATTTATTGCGTCAGAGAGCAGCATCTGAAGCAGCAGTAGCAGCAGTTCACGTAATCGTCTCACTGCACTGTTACAGATTTATCGCCTATGGCCCATTCTTTTCTGGCAGCAACTTCTCTATTTTCATAGGTAGAGGCAGGCAGCAACAGAAACAGAAGGCACCATTTGCCAGTAGAGAATGCACCAGTTCACCAGTCCAAATAACTTAATAAGGAAAGAGGCTATGAATAAGAGAGAGTGAATGTAGTTGTGGTGTAGTAGTCAGTGTTATGGAGAAATCGCAGTGATGCCCCTTCCGCTGCTGTTGCTGCCGTAGGCTGCCTCTAAAGACAAACAGTGGCCATTTGCAACTCCTTCACTGTTTCTGTGAAGCACAGCAGCAGCGGACTTTATTTATCGGTCTTCGGCAATAAGTGGACCAATACATAAATTTACATATAGCGTGTACATAAATTACCACTGACTTTGCCTTCCCCTGAACTGCCGTCTATCTCTTTCTCTCCCAGTTGACATTCTCTATCACTGATTAGTGTCTCATTAAATCAACATACCCCGATTGACAATGGCTTGGACACGTAGACGCTCTCTCGTCTTGCGCTTTGCTTGTCGCGCGCGCGCGTTCAGTCGTCGTGATTGACGCATTCGCAAATTGGCCACTGCGACCCGGTGACGCCCAGACAGATGCAGATTGTCTCCGATTGCCTTTCTCTCTCTCCCTGCCGTGGCAACTATTCCTGGCACCTCACGCCTATAGAGCTGCTCTCTGTGAATTGCCTACAACTGTCTTGATGGAGCTGTAGAGTGCTGAAGTGAGGTGAAGTGAAGTGCACAAGTGAGTGTGTGTGTGTGCTCGCTTCTGTGCGAGCACGGGGAACGACGGCGCATCGCACACGGCACTGCTGTCGTCGTCGAGTTGCGTGTGAACTCGTCCTGGCCTCGTCACCACCACCATCACCACTGTCCACCTCATTAGGCATGCACAGTGCATTGCATCATTAGGCACCATTATCTCGGTGACATTGCCACTGCACTCGATTGTCTTAGCGCACTCACAGGTGCTGCCCAGAGACAGACAGACGGCCAGATTGAGATTGAGGTAAGTCACTGTGCAGTTCGGCGGCTGGAGCCGTACTGGCCACCACCACCACCACCGACGACCAGCACTGAGAAACCATTCTCAGGTAGGAGAGAGAGAGACTGTCATGGCAGAGGGCGATAACATCAGTGACAAATGTCAACTCTATTACGCTGCAGCCAACTTGGCCAGTGACTTCTTGGCGGCGGCGGCGGCTGCTGCTCTACCTGTCAACTGGCCAGCTATCACCGAGACTGTCTTCTTCGGAACGGACACACAACATTCTCCAACCCAGACAGTGAACACACACACACTCACACTTACACTCAGCTGGCACAAACAATCGATGACTGTAGGACAGAGCATAATTAACTCTGAACTTATCTTCTTGGTAGCTCTGTTGGCTCTGCAGAATAATGAGCGGTGCAGCGAGACAGATCGCTGAGAAAATCTAGTTTGCCAATAAAACTGGACTTGAGAAGTACAAGACACAAAAACACAAACTACTTTTATCGGACTTTAATGGTCAAGCTAGGTAGTACTGTCGATAGTGTATGCGCCTGACCAGTATAGTGGAGGTGGAGGTGACAGTTCAGAGGCTGAGATAATGCCCAACTACTCGCCTTTAAATTCATCAGGGGGAGTTTCAGTGCATCTGCCAAAGATAAGAAATTGAGTAAAAATGTCAAAGATGGAGAGGGACAAAGTGTGGACTGTAGGTTACGAGAATTGAGAAAGGGAAAAGTGTTTAGAGGAACAACATGTCGATTCTAATTTAGTTTACACTTGTGGCCAGTTGAGAGAAGATAGTCTACAGCCAAAGAGCAATCTCATGCTAAACATGGTGCCATACATCGTCTACTACCTTTTCCGCCATCACCATGGACACAGGTGTGGTCGGCGATAAGCGACGCATCGATTCGGCGTACCGTAGCGTACCGTTTGCACTTTGGGGCGCTAATGAGCGACTGGCTTGCTGTGGCTAATTCAATTACCTCTCAGCCAATGTGTGCTCCAGTGCCCGTGGCCACTGCTGCTGCTGCTGCTGCACATTACAGCATTACATCAGTGCACAGACAGTGGGCCCAATCGGTCACATTCTACAGTGTCTACTCGAGTGCATCAGCGGGAGTAACAGCAAAGACCACATAGAGTCTTTGCATCGGTGAGTGCCTGTGTTGGCAATAATTAAGGCAACCGTCACTCGAACTTTTTAGTTTTTCACGTCTCTAATAGTTTCCATATGAAAACAACTTTTTGCGTTTTTTTACAACCGATTTTACCTGGAGTACCTAAAATTCTGATTTTGGTCTTAAAATAATCTTAAAGACCTTATCTTGAATCGTATGGAGGGGTTTTGAAAAATATTGTTTTGGGATTTTTTAATGACCGATCAAAGTTGTGACACGTGTTTTTTGCAACTTCAACTCAATGAAAAATATAGTAAAAAACAATATTTTCCAAATCCCCTCCATACGATTTAAGATAAAGTCTTTAAAATTATTTTAAAACCAAAACCAAAATTTTAGGTACTCCAGATAAAATCGGTTGTAAAAAAACGCAAAAAATTGTTTTCATATAGAAATTATTAGAGACGTGAAAAACTAAAAAGTTCGAGTGACGGTTGCCTTAATAGTGACTCGATATGGCATTGCCTTGCTGCTTTCCCTTCCCGCGCCGCATCTTCCCTATCGGCGAGTCATATTTCTGGCGGTGCGATGTGTGTGCTGCATGAGCTCACTGGCCGAGTCTGCTGCTGATGCTCACTCATACTTTTCAATAAAAAAAAATCTAAATTTATGATTTATACCGCCTAATGTATAAACATATTTTCGCGTCGCAGTGATCATTAATTTAAAAAGCTAGGCTTCCATGTGAGCTTTGGAGCTTGGAGAGATAATGATGCTGCTGCTGCAGATCGATGCTATATGGGCACTTGGTCGAGGGCGACCGGGCGCAGAGTGCACAGCAGCAGCAACAGCATCAAGAACAGCAAGGATCGTCTGGCAGACTGTGCCTCATCAGCAGCCAAAGTCATCGGACGCAAACTCGTTTGCGCTCGCAGATGATAACTCTGACACTGCGCTTTTTGAGCCAATATCTGAGCGTGTGTCTTATGATATGATTAATTGAAATTATTACTGCTAATCTACATCGGAGACAGAACCTACCTTTGCGATGATAAATAATAAACATGCACAAAATATGGCAAGATGACTGGACGATAATTGCGCTCGCGCTCGGTGATCCTTTCGGACGGACAGTTTCTCCTCTGCAGAGAGATGTCTTTGCTGTTCTTGCTGCTGCTGCTGTTGCTGCTGCCGAGCATCGAGATAAATGTGTCTGCCAGCGTGAATCGTTCAAATCAGATTAGTGAGCAGGCTGTTCGATCATCGCCTGTCACACACATACACACTGCCTCAGTCCAGAGCCATACTCGACTGCAAGCCTTTAATTAAGCATTGCCCACACTGCCACTCGGGTACTCATGCCAAAAGAAGCAGATAGGTGACTAGGAGAGAGAAGAGTCAGACAGACAGACAATGCTGAGACAGGTGAGAGGAGACGGTGAGGAGACAGTGCGGTGTAAATCAGTGCCATCACGCGACAGCCAGTGCTCAGTGCCAGTGCAGAATACTGTATCGCACACACTCGCAAACACAGGGTCCGGTGACAGTGCTCTGATCAGGGCCGATAGAGCACCGATGGTGGCGTCGACTGCGAAGACGGCTGCTCTCTCAGCAGCCACTTGTTTTACTGCTAATTTGTGCTCCCTTTCCACTGCTGCCTCTTTGTCTCTGCACTGTCACTGCGGCTGCGGCCACTGCTATCAGCACTGTCACTGTGTGTGTGTGTCTCCTCCAGTCGAATGCCAAGATCAAGTGAAACAAAAGTAGATAGAGTGAGAGAGAGAGAGCGTCTGGATGGCCTTGCTCAAGAGCGAACCTCCAGCTGTGAACGAGGTTTACTGCTGCAGTGGCAGGCGATCACAGAGACACGGAGACAGGTTGCCAGCAGTTCGCTGAAGGTCTTTGCAACTGGAGAAGGAGGCCTCAGTGTGCTCACTCAGGAGGTGCATTACCGTGTCCAATGGTGGCCTTGCATCCACAACAAGTGCTCGATAATTGATTGTGCTAGATTAGCTGTACGGGACCGGCCACTGGCTGGCTGGCTGTGATAAATGATAAATGGTGACGCTTGCTACTTCTCTCTCTCTCTCTCTCTCTTTCCTTCTATTCTGGGGAGGGTACACTGTGCAGCTATCTGCTCTGTCTCTAGCAGCTCAGGCTAAGGCTAAGGTTGCCAGCTTCATTAAGGCAGAAAATTGCTGAGTTGTTGTCCTCTTCGGTGCTCTGCAGTCGTTCAGTGATGTCCACTCGTTCCAAAACTAATCACATGTTTCTCTCCCTTTTTTCTCGCATTTAGATTCGCAACAAATTTGGCTGCTTTGATGAGATCCGCGACATGGACTGCAAGAAAGTGCGCCACTGCAATTGGATTCGCTTCGTCACCATCACCAAGCTGCTGAATGAGAATGTCAACCTCGTCGGGCGCATCATTCGCGGCGAGGTGATCTACGAGTGCATTCAGAACATCCCGCCCAACAAGGAAATTGTCGTCTTCTATGATCTCAAGAACTTTGACACGGCCCTCTTTCAGGCCTTTTATCCCTCGCTCTTTGCAGCGTCGCCCTTCTTTCGAACTCACCACCACGCGTTCATCTGTCGCCAGGCTCTTCAGGGTAAGCGCTATATACATCATTTCTTTCTTTTTTGCTGTCTTTTTCTTGTGTCAGTCGATTTTTACTAAACTGTGTCTCTTTCTCTCTTTCCCCCTTCAAACTCGCCTTGTCACTTTTGCAGATAGTCCACTTGATCTTTCCATGTCCCTGTTGGCCTCACCTTCAGAATCTTCCTCGTCCATTTCGAGTTCCTCCTCATTTTCATCTCAAACTGAAAACCGTATCCCCTTCTCTTCTGATGAGTTTTCGCTTGATCTCTCCAATAAGAAAAGCAAAGTAGACGTCATCAGCTCACCTCCCAGCTCACCCGAGTCAGAACCTAATGAGAAAAAGTTGGACGACAGTGATTTGAAGGTGGACGACGACGAGGAGGACATTGATGAGGAGGAGGACGAGGATGATGAGATGGAGATGAAGACGAAGACGGCGCTCAAGGAAATTGAGGCGATGAAGAGTTTGGCGAGTCACATTGTGGTGAAGAAGCCAAGAGAGAGGACAATGCTACCCTGTGAATACTGCGGTAAAGCCTTTGATAGACCGTCTCTCCTTAGGCGACACTTGCGAACGCACACTGGCGAGAAGGTACGTTTTAGTATATTGATTGATCCTTCTGCCCATCATCATCAGCTTATCAATTGTTGTTTGTCACCCTCCTGAACAGCCACATGTGTGTGATGTCTGTGGTAAAGGCTTCAGCACCTCCAGCTCTCTCAACACTCACCGAAGGATTCACAGTGGAGAGAAGCCGCATCAATGTAAGTGTGAAATATGCCCCCTTTCCCCTGCTTGACATTGCTCACTATTCAAATGAGCTCAGGCAATTGAATGCGGCGACATGGACACATTGCACATTTGCAATGGACATTAGAGATAAAACAATTAAGCGGTAATGCCAAGCAGCGGATCGATGCAAATCACATGCGGCGGCATACATTAGGCGATTAATGCTTGTCTAGGGAAATGTGAATGTGAATGTGTGTGTGGTGCCACTTGCCACTGGCTGCTCAACATAATGGAACGATAAATAAACAGAACGATGCAAACAATAGACCAGAGCAGATTAGCACCATTAAGGTGGCAGCACACTTTATGGCCGGCTATTGGTGTCCGCACTCTTATCGCACTCTTCGATCTGACTGCTCTCCAGTATGCACAGACAGTGTCCACACACCGACGAACGCAAGTGCACTTGACCATATACTGCTGCTGATGTTACTGTTGATGACCGGCACGGAAACGAATCGTGCACACACACTAGTACACACTCACTCACCCCATTGCGACCATGTTTCCAAGGCGCCATAAACACTGTGCCTGCCTTTTTATGTCGACGGATCTGAGATGCGGCGCAATTGAGATATTTGCCACCCGATAGAGTGGTAATGGTGGTGGCAGCCAATCACACACACACACACACAGTCAGACAATAGTCCATTTTCATCAGCCATCAGACGACCATTATTTATTGCCCGCTGTGGTTCCTCACTGGACACTGACACTCCGCGGACAGATGCAGTCGCCCGGCGCTATTAAGATAGAGTCTACCTGTTGCTGCTGACCCTTCAAGGGATATATGCGTTTTTGTTCTCTACCTGTTGAATGTCTTTACCAATACTAAACATTTGCTCTCTTTCCTCCCCCTCTTCCTCAACAGGTCCTATCTGTGGTAAACGGTTCACCGCCAGCTCCAATCTCTACTACCACCGAATGACGCACAACAAGGTAAGTTGAGCTTTCTTTTTTTCTGTTTTCTCCAATTGTGTTGCTAGTCATGTTAGACACGTTAGTCTCTTGTACTTGGTTACGGTTGGTTTCTCTTGCTCTCGGTGGCACGCGACACCACTTAGATAATTAGCAAAACCCACAAGAAGATGGCCAATTAGTGCGTTCCAGTTGGTTACTCGCTTAGAACGCCTTTGTTTGCGGGCACGTTTCAATTAGCACTTGCATCAGGTGTCGCCTCTCTGAGCATGGTCGTTGAGGCATTTACATTTCACAGCATTGTAGGGAGCGCAGGGAGCGAATTTCTCTGGTGGCTGGTCGCTGATCGTACGCCGCAGCCAGTGCTGCTCATTCACTGCTGCTGCAGCCTCGTCCATGGCTGAGTGCACCACCAGAGAAATGTCATAAGTAACTGTGATATTCTTCCTTCTCTCTCGCTCTCTCTCTCTTTTCTTTGCCGCCGTCGCCGACTTCTCTTGTGACCAAACAAGCGCAATCTAAACATTGTGGCGGCGTCTTTCAAGCGACCCTGTCGGCACCTCTTTGCCACGACGTTTTTTCTCACCAAAGAGCCACTACCACCACCACCACCACCACCAGAGTTTGCCATTGGCAGTCATTTAGCAGGCAGCGCGTGCTACTAAGTGCTACTCTTCCACACATTCACTGCCGCCTGGACTGCACACAGACTTAAGACAAACAAATTAAAAGTTAATTACTGCACTGGTAGACGCACTACCAAAGCAGACCGAGCCAGACCAGACAGTGCCACCACCAGTGAGGTCGACCAGTTGCTGGAGAGCACAGAGAACAACTGGTTGGTCCAGTTTGCTCAAGTCGGGCAAAAGATGATATTACAAAAGAAGAATTTGCAGTGCCATATGGAATGGCCAGTTGCGACCTCATCACAATTCGGCGATTTCCTTTTATTCCTTTGCGTGCTTCCGACAAAGCTGGCACCCTTCCATCTCTCTATTTTCCCCTTTGCTGACTGCTCACTTGGCTTCTCTTTTTGACCGTTTGCAGTGCTGGTTACAAAACTGTTGGCGTTTTGGTGTTCATTGTTAGTTATTAATTAGCCGCAGTGGCAGCATCTGGAGACGCATCCGTCGAAGATGGCAGTGGCAGTGACTGGCAAGTGAGTGCGCGCATAACTCGATCGCGGGTGTGGCCACCAGTGGCTATCAGTGGCATTAGCACCAATTGAGTTGGCTGTTTGTTCAAGCACTTAATTGCATTAGTACTGTCCTTTGTCTGCTGCAATTTGTTGCTCTTCTAAAAAGTAATAGCAGTTGTTGTTGATGTTGTTGTTGTTTTTGCCGATGCTGCACTGTTGTGATTGCCTCAGCCGTCCGACGAACTACGAACTTCACCAGACTGTCCAGACGCACAGGAGTAGTACACAGAAGCCATTCTAATTGAGATCACCGGGAGAGAGAGAGACTCGTAATGTCAGTGTCTGTGCGCGTCCAATTGATGGGCTTGGTTCAGCGCTGGCTGAGCTGACTGCCTGTCGGTGATGCAGCAGCAGCAACTCTGGCGCGTAATCACTGCTGATGGCCACTGATCACCTGTACGTTCGAGCGGTGCCAAAACGACGGCGGTAATCAAGCCAATTGGAACTTGTGTGCAAAGCATATATTACAGACAGGACTGCTGCTTCTGCTGCTGCCATCACCGCTCTTCTGTCTACTACTCTTCCCTTCTTGGTCTTCTTCTCACCAAGATGGCCGCAGTTACCTTCGCCTCAGACGATCACTGACTGCAGCCGGCCACCACTGGCACCACTTAATGAGTAGGTGCAGTGGTGGTGGCGGTGGTGGTGGTGGCGGTGGTGGTGGTGGTGGTGGAGCACATTGCCTAGTGCGCGACCGCTGATTGACCCGCAGCTCGGCACCTCAATTGTCTGCTGCTAGTGTTGCACTGAACTCTGTGCTCCACTGTTTTTCTTTTTTCATTGCCTTCTAACACTGAAGAAAGAAGTGATCGATCGGAGGACGCACATTGGCACTGAGCCTGATGAAGTGGTGAAAGATGCGCCAGCGTGCGCGGTCAGTGTGTGATGATGCCCTCGTGTCAATTAGCCGTTCGTGCCCGGCGCGACGCACACCCTGCCCCGCTGCACTGGATTTACTCGATGTGCCGCAGCAGCAGCTCTGGATGTGTCAATGCACAGGCGCGAGAAGCGAGATAGATCGGCATCTTCAGAAGCCGCCAATCATTGCCGCCTCACGATGTGTGCTCTACGCAGATCGCAGCTGTCCCGGGCTGTCCTGCACAAGGTGCACTCTCTCTCCACACTTTGGTACCTTCACCAACGCTGCTGCCCACTCTGCTTCTCTCAATCTGAAGCTCTTTCTTTTTCTTCTACACTTCTGTCAATTGTCGACAGACGTTTTGATAGTTTAATTCTCGTGTAATATGCAGGATGCATTGGTCAAATGATAGGTGCAGCCTGTGATGTGTGTGCTGTAACTTACTGACTGAATGCTTGCCATCTACTTCAACTACTTCTGGCCTTAGCATGACATTCGATCAACATGCGTATGCATGTGTGCAACTTGCTACTTACGGCAAAACGAGAAATCAAAGTCAGCTAGTTATGAAGTGAGACGGCGAAAGATTAATGGGGATAGTGCTCAATGTCCATTTCTGATATTGTACTCAATGGCGCATAAATCAATCGCTGCTGAAGAAGTAGAAAAAAATGGCCTGACTGTATGCAACCATTAATTAGAGCAGAGTGCATACACTCTTGAAACACGTTTTTAACTTGAACACATTAACACGTTGCTGACGTGCTGTCTATAATTATTAATAAAGGCCAATTAATTAGCTGATCAAGGAAAGTGTATGCGCTTGCTAATCTTAAGGTCTGTCTTGCAGAGTTCATCTACATGACCGATTGCCGATGCTAATTACCTCTTTGCCAGAGAGGAAGATGGGCAGGTGACCGAGCCAGAGCAGTCAACACGCGATTTGCACATTGTTCCTAGTTTGTCGGTGCTTTTCCTGCCCAATTTTGTGCTGTCCTGCAACGTGGGTCGGCCACAGGGACAGCCACAGAGAAAGTAGTGTACTTAATCAAAGAGAAACAGATTCGGTTTTTGGTGCCTACCTCAGAGCAGTACACTACAGTGCCCACATACGCACACAGTTCTCTTGACTAGCTCGTTGCACAGTGGCGTTTTCTGCTCGAATTATAGCAGGAGCAGCAAGAAGAGCAGCCGGTGTCTCATTAAGGCATTCTGAATCTATTTATTTAGCCCCTCTCTCCCTCTTTCTCTCCTTCTGTTCGTGGTAGCTACTGGAAAGAGAAATGATTTCGTTTTCGTGACGAGTGAATAGAGCAAGTCACGACTTTATACTCACTGACGCTCGTCGTCGCTGAGGAGCTCAATCGCTACTGTAAATCGTTCTCGCGCTTAATAGAAGCCATGTGCGATTTCTGCCCGCCATCTCCCCTGAATCGCTCCCTGGATGGCCAAATTAGCGTCATCGATACACACATACTCACATGCTCACATTCACTTGTCCTGCTACCATTCTGCTACTGGGGATGATGCAGCTCGAGGTGTGTGTGTGCTCTCTGAAATACTGTGCCCGGAGACGACTGTGCCTCTGTGCAGTGCTGCTGTGTGGTACTGATGGTGCCATTCTGTGGGAGCAAGGAGGAGAATTCCTGCACTCTCCTGGTGGCGTGGCTCGGTCGGCACACTCTGTGCGCACTCGTTCTCTCGGACCATCTTTCATCAGCGGCTTCGTTGCTGATGCTTAGCACTGTTTGCCACTGCACTGTGCGCACATCGGAGAGATACATGTGAACCGACAGAGGGAACACTACTGCTTGACCTGCCCAGTGGCACTGCACGATGATCTGCTTAATCCACATGGACGATGACGGCCACCGCGCGCGCGGTAATGATGGCCATCGGCTGGCAGCCAGTAGTGCCAGTAGGCTTCTCACAGTGCCAATTTAAATTGCCCGACTTAAAATAAAGCAGTCTCTTCGAGGTGTGTTGGCTGCGGCTACTAAGTGTACTCTCTCTCTCTCTCTNTCTCTCTCTCTCTCTCTCTCTCTCTCTCTCTCTCTCTCTCTCTCTTGTCTTTCTTTGTCTGTTTTCCAGTATCTCTCTTTCTGTGTGTGTTTGTGTGTCTGTGCCTTGTCCGACAATGCAAATTACACAGAGCACACAGGTAATAATAACAAGTCGATCGGAGGGACAATTAAATCGCATCTGACCACTAAACTGGTGGGGCCATTCTGCTGGCGCTCACTATGCGAACACTCGCAGAAGTTGGGAGACTGAGGTGCGCAGTGCAGTGATGATGATGAGTAGAACTCTCTTTCTCAGTGGTTTCAGTCACTTCTGAACAAGAGCTGCAGCAACTTCGATATGGCGCGTACTGTAGCGCGCCTACAATCTCCATAAATTAAGCAGCAGCAGTAGCAGCAGCAATCAAGTGGAGCCGATATTTTGTCAATGAGCACCGCAATCAAGTCGCACCGCGCTGTCCTCTCGCTCTCACTCTCACTCCACTGAGCACTATCAGCTAATAATGCTAATTATGCTTGCGATTTAATTTCGAAGCTACCTGTTGCACACAGACACTCCATTCTGCCTGACCAGTGCACTAGCCACCATCATCATCGTTGTCGTCGTAGTCGTCGTCGTCGTCATCAGTCGCTGTCGACATTCACCACTGCTAATCGAGTGTGGCAAAACAGTGGGAAAATTGCTGAACGCTCAGGCTGCAGCAGCACAATACCAAGTGGTCAATTGCAGGGATTGTAATCGAATTTTTCTGTTTAATTATTATTGCGTTGATAGGCAGATCGATTGAGCGAAATACAGCGAGGCAGTACGTAAACATCAGCTAATGGCTCTGCTGTTGCTTCTGTGAGTCTTGATGTAAATCCAGTCGCTGTCGAAGGCAACGGTTAGGATGCAAGACAGGACAAGATGGCACAGAGAAAGAGTGAGAGGCGCAGATGTAAAAACACAGTGCAGCACAGAGGCAGACACGCAAAGGAGGACTGGATTGGATTGGATTGGGCTGCAGTCGATTGCTGCAGGATTCAACGGGGGAGATTTGTCGGCCTTGTCGGTAGATTCGACTGCAGACAAGAGCACATATGGACACAAACTCTAATGGGCAATTAGTTTTACTCGCTCGGTTCTGGTGGTGCTGCTACTGCTGCTGTTGCTGCTAATACTACCACTGCTAAAGGAGAAAAGTAGTGCTCACGCACGCGCTTTGTACGACCGATTCAGTGAGATGTGTAGCAATGCTCACACAGTGCTCCAACTGAAAGTGAACGCGCGCGCTGTGATTGATGATACGTGCAGATGTATGACTCTACTCCAATTAGACAGTCATCGCTAGTGCCACTGTGCGCAGCAGACCTGTCTTCTGTCTTTTGCCACTTCGAGCACTTCTTCTAAAGACTAAAAACTACGTTTAATCCATTTACAGCTTGCCCACAGTGTGTATTTGCAGATGCAATTGTAGAATGGCAAATTGAGCCAATTAATTTGCCAAGTGGCAGTGTCGCACTGGCGGTGATTAAGCAGGGCCAAAATGGAGTGAGACGGGAGGAGGCACTTATAATTGAATGAGGAAAATAAATCATGGTGATGCTCAAAATTTGTTCTCATGTCACCTTGCAAGGTGATTTGTAATAAATTACCACAGTAGCAGCATATTCTGCCCTACTGACTAGGCCGGGCAAGTCAATTGGCCGCCACCACAGCCACTGCTGCCAGACCCGATTCATCACCGAGGCAGAATGGCGTAGACAGAGGACAGACTGTCCCACTGCGAGCCTGGCCAGTCACGCACATGAGTTACTGCGCTTCAGACACAGTAGCCAGAGCACTCGTTGACCACCGTCATCGTCCATCGGTCATGGCACCGAGGGCAGAGGTGCACAGGTGCACGCTGGAGACACAATCAGTTTCCTTCTCTTCTCGTCTCATTGAAGGACTCTTCTCTGTCTCAACCAAATCAGCTCTCAATTGGACAATCGTGCCACTGCTTGGGTTGACATGCACTGGCCCCAGCTTCGGAGCAGTTCTTATTGTTGCTGTAGTTGTTGGCGTGATATCACCCACTGTTGATCTGACTCCGGTAATTGATTGCCGCCATAGGCAAAAACAGCCAAACAACAGCTGAGATTACTTTCGAATCAGTGATGGTCATTTGTGTGTATGTGTGTGTGAGATAGCCGACAAGATGGACACTAAGACGAGATTAGATAACAGCTGCGTCTCACTAGACTTGTTCGTTTTCATCGCCTCATCACTGGGGAAACAAGTTGAATTGACCGACGCCGCCGTCGTCAACGATGCATTGCACTTGTCGTCGTCGCCGAGGCGAAGAGGAAAGTTTGTCAATGCACCTAGTCTTTTCTCTTGTCTCCTCATTCATTCATTCAAATTTTTTGCTGAAGACGGCAATGCCGATAGCGTTCAGTTAGAGGCAATCAAAGTCACTTTGCAACTTTGCAGATATTAATGGAGCTTCATTGGACAAATGGCTGCAGCGGTGCTCGCGCGCCATCCATGTTTGCCCTCTACCTAGCAGTGCCAAGTGATGCGCATAATTGCGCCAATAATAGTGCCTGCATCTGTAGCCGAGCTAGCTGTGATAATTGGCTGCTACTGTTGATGCCGCTGTTGTTGATGCTGTTGCTGCTGTTGCTGCAGCCATCCACGCCAGCAACGGCAAATATCTTCGCACCACTTTGCCATATTACGCGAAGACAATAGAGCCAATGCACAGTGCCGTGTGATAGGCCAGCAAGTGCTGAAGTTTACTCAGAGTGAGTAAAGTCCAAGTGCTACTTGCAGCAAGTGGCGCCAGAAAGCCACGAGACCTTTCTCTCTCTCCAGAGAGGAGCTTCTGTGGTGCTGAGTCGTGGCATCACTGCCAATGTTCACTTAATTGCGCTAATTAACTGCACATAGAGAGATAGCATCGTTGAGGCAGTGGAAGGGAAGAGAGAGAATGAGTGAGCAAGACAATGCTCGAGACAACTGGTCATTCCAGCGACTGCTGCAGTCAATTGTCGTTTGGCAATGCCTTCGCATGAACGAGCAAACTGTCCTCCTCCTGCCTGGTTGTTCAGTGCGAGGTCGTCATGTTGCGCCAGCTTAATTGACTGATTGTATTTTATCTGATCTGCCGCAGTGTGATCTGTGACCACATGCATCTTCGCCTTCTTTTTCTATAAATGGTCGATTATATTGAATAATATGCTTTCAATGGAATACAAAGTGAATTCGATCGTCGGACTAACAATTCTCCCTTTTCCTCTTTTCTTCTCCTTCTTGCCTCCAGGTGAAACCACATGCGTGTCAATTGTGTTCAAAGTCATGTAAGTTGATGATGTTCAATCACTTCTGTCAGTAGCATATTCACTAACCTCTAATGCCACCTTCTGTGCTGCTCTCTTCCTAAAAATACAGTTCCCACTCCTGGAGATTTAAAAAGTCACATGTAAGTTGAAATGCTGAGAATGCATTTATTACAGATGTTTTTAACGAATGCCGTTTTTCTTTTTTTCTAACCGTACACAGGTACGTTCACAACGGTTCTTGGCCCTTCAAGTGTTCAATTTGCAATCGTGGATTTAGCAAGCAGACCAATCTGCGCAATCACGTATGTTCTTCTTTTTCTCTACCCTTTTTCCATGTATTTGCAGTAGTAACTGAACTAACTGTCTCTCCTCCCTTTCCCGAATACAGATGTTACTGCACTCAGGTATGTACGTGTTCCATTTACAACCGTTTTTTTGTTTAAAAATCTGACAATTAAGTAGAACCATTAGTTTGCAGAGCACATGTTTTATCAGTAGTAGCAGTAGCCTCGGTTTTAACTAAATTATAGTTGAACTTGCTGAAAGGGCGCTCTTTTCTAAAATGTGATCTAAACTGCCATCTTTTTGTTTGGGCAATTTCTCAGCTTAAGATCAACTTTGGGAGTAACTGGTGGCATTTTGCGTAATCATTGAGCAACTGTTCTACAGACAACTGTTGAACTCTTTGCAAAAATAGTGAGTCTACACGAGGGCAGTCAACAAGTTTTGACGGATACTAGTAATTTGTCTAGCTTTGTCAAATTAGCACCAAATGGCAACTGATTTGATAAACTGAACCATGCGCTTTCTCAGTTTAGCTAGCCAGAGTGAGACTTTGAACTACTGTAAACTCGTGCCATGGTTGATTTATCGATTCATATTTTAGTAAATTAACTTTGATCTAATTTTGTTCGTCTAAATTGGTGCACTCGATTGCTCTATCGAATGTTAATTAATGGCGAGCACTCACAAGTGTTCACATCGCCGATGCTGATCAAAGCAGGTACAGGTACAGTTGGCGGTAGCAGCAGCAGTGTGGTAGTAGAGTGACGCAGCAGTGAGCTGCCGCCGATCTCAGGCACATCTCTCCATTGTGAATGGCAATTTGTGATCGCCGAAAATTGGCTTAACACTATCGTGCCACTGTTGTGATCGCGAGGGCCTCGCTTCTGCACTGGCCCTATCGTGAGTGCGATAATTTTGCGCCAGTCACGAAGCGTAATCTGGTCACCGATGGCCATTATCGAATTATGATGCGATCTCGTTAGCCGTCAAGCCAGGGAGCTACTGTCGAGCAGAGGCGCAGTGACCGGTGGTACAGCGACCATTCCTTGATTATTGATATTTGCGCGCTTGTTATCGAGCAATGATATACTCTCTAACTGATGCCAGCTACCTGGTAATTGCATGTAAATTGAAGAGGCAATCGTTCTAATTGTCAGACAGACAGTCACTGACGACTGCTTCTCACAAGTGGCGGCTATGCATTGTGAAAGCACTTTTCAAATGGCATCTCCGAATAGGCAGAGAGCAGGATGAAGAGAAGGTACTGGTGAGAGACAGACGTGCTCGATTGAATTGAATTAGAGCAAAGGCAAACACTGAGACGAAGAAGANCTGGTAATTGCATGTAAATTGAAGAGGCAATCGTTCTAATTGTCAGACAGACAGTCACTGACGACTGCTTCTCACAAGTGGCGGCTATGCATTGTGAAAGCACTTTTCAAATGGCATCTCCGAATAGGCAGAGAGCAGGATAAAGAGAAGGTACTGGTGAGAGACAGACGTGCTCGATTGAATTGAATTAGAGCAAAGGCAAACACTGAGACGAAGAAGAAAAAAGACTGAGTGACTGAGCGAGTGAATGGCTCAGTGGCTGGCACAGAGCACAGTTAGGGTTATCGCACATCATCTATCATCGAGTTTGCATTTGCTGAAACGACTAAACTCTTTTTCGTGATGCTTGTCGACTTCAATCAGCAGTTCTGCTAGGCAACTGACCTACAGGGCTATTAAGTCACTAAAGTGGCTATAATAACGCAGTGATAAATGGCCGCAGAATTGAGCCGCCAACCAAATGATGCCACCAGATGATCTATTGCTTAGGAAGGCGCCCAATCACCGACCGAGAGGGACAAGAGAGATGGTCAGTGATCACCAAGTGAGAGATCGTCAATCGAGCAGTCTTTAATTGTCAATTGTAGCGAGACGCAATTAATTTACAGCAGGTCATTCATTTCTCTTCTTTTTTCTCTTCCCCCTCTTCCTCTTCTTTTAGGCGACCGGCCGCACGAATGTGAAATCTGCCAGAAACGTTTTGCACTGCAGTGCAACCTCAGGGCACACATGAAGACCCACGAGGAGCCACAGAGTGAAAAGTGCTTACGGTGCAGCCGAGAGTATCCCATTTCTACAGGACTGGTCACCATGGGCTGCTGCCACGAGTGCTATCTGGGCAGTCAGAGCCTGCCCCTGCTTAGGCAAAAGTGATCACCAGCATTCACCAGCACTACCACTTCACTGCACATAAACCAGCCAAATTCTCGCCAATCTCCCGACCCGAGTGAATGAGTCCGCCAAAGAACTGCCAGAAGCATGCTCCAGTCAGCAGCGTTTCCCTCTTTTCCCCGTCTCTCTCCTCTTTCTCTTAAATAGTGACACTTTGATACACTGCTGTAAGCCGCTGCTTGGAAGCACTGCACCTCATTGAACCATCTTGGATCTGCACAGACTGTCTCAGCACCAGCACCACCACCATCACCACCTGTTGCACATGCACACCACTCTGTCCGCCAGTGTTTAAGCCTCTCTGAGCGTGGGCATTCGTTGGCACCTTATGCAATACACATACACACACAGCAAGCACTCACTGCAAATTAAATATGAAAAGTCAAGCAGTCAGAGCATTCAGAAAGGATTTCTCTTCTCATTTTGAATTTTGTAAGATAGTCGACAGCCGTTTTTGATGCTGTTGTGTTTTTCTTCCCTGTAAATATAGTTTGCTGTTCTGGTGGTTGACCACCGTCGGCGACAAAACAACCACGTTCACTGTTTTTGCAGACTGAACGCGCACACTTCACTTTGGAAAGAGATTACCACACTCTCCTTCCCACTAAACACACAATACTGATTTTTTATTTTGACGAAATAAAATTAATATTTTGCCATAAATACAAAAGCACTTTGCTCAATTATTCTGTGCCGTACTTACTGGTTGTGCTGTACAGACTTGCAGCACTCTTAGCGGCACATTGGCGTATTTGCATATAAATCGGCTTTAAGTTAGCAGCTTGGCTCGCCAAAGACCACCGATTAATGTGTCGGTGCGCAGGGCACACACTCAACAGACAACCAGCAAGAGCCTAAGAGCACACACACCGCACCACACTTCTTGGTCATCCATTCCAGTAATGGCCACACTAATACGACGCTCAGAGAGCACAGGTGAGGTTAGGTGACTGAGCTGAGCTGATGCTGAGCCGTCGCCGCCGCCGCTGGCCTCACTGCCCCCTTGGTCGCATCATCATCGCTTGCATACATATTAATGACTCCGATAGAGTGCAGCCATGATTTATGCTGCTTTTATGTCCACTGCCATACCATAGGCTGCATGATGGTATCCCCAGCACTACTACTACTAGTAGTAGTTGTAGTAGTCTGGTGCACCATGAGCGCTCGATGATCGGATGGCTGGCGCGCGCGCAAGAGCACTCTTGGTCGCCAGTCGCTAATAAATTCACTTACATACACATTCACCACTGGTGCCGCTGCAAATTATTACATTGTTATCACATTTAACTTGTAAATTTGATTTAGACTCAAATAGATTTTATCTCAATGGTCTAGTAGTGTGTGTTTAGTGTCAATCTGCATTTTAATTACGATTTCAAATTCAAATGACGCCGCTCGGCGCAGTGCGGAGTCGCAGTGCCGCCACCAGAGAGGTATGTGTGTGTGTGTGTGTGTCGTTCTCTCTGTCGCTGTGTATGTGATTACTGTCGCAGTTGCCGTGAACGAAAAAAAGAAGCAAAAGGAGCAAGAGTAATGAAAGCAGTAGTGGTCAGTGATACTCGGTTGTGACAGTCAAAGCGAAGTATAAAAAAGAATTGCCACAAAATAGCAAACTGCTGACTGAGATGAGTTGAGCTGTCTGAGTGTGTCGGTGCGTATGTGATTCGGTGTTTGACAGATCACTACCGATCAACTGAAGAAAAAAGAAATTAAAAGTATACTATTGGCGCAATTCTCATAATTGCACCAGAGACTACCTGCAAGCACACCTTTGAACGTGGCCTTTGGCAGTTAAATTGGTGCCTTCACAATGGCGTCGAACTGGGCTCTCTCTTCAGGTAATGGGGACGGTAATGGGCAGCGAATGACAAACATTAACCGAGATGGAGTCAATCATCGACGACCACTGTCCGACACAGACACAACAAGTGCGCGCATTTGTCCAGCTTCTCTTGTTGCATATATTCTTCGCTGTCAGTAATACCAGTAATAATCGGAATAATTTTGATCGAACTCAAAGTGCGACTGGAAGAAAGGAGGCAAAGAAAAAAAAGTATATATCGATCGAAGGAGCAAGTCGGGTAATTGCAGCCTGGCAGCTCTAGTTCAGCACTGGCAGTACGCCGCGCTCTGGTCATGGTTTGTCATCTGCTCACAATGAAGCAATCCCAGTGGCCATTGCTCACTGTGTCCGATTGTGCACACTTCGCCTCAATTCATTCGATTACACTGAACGTGTGATCGTGCCAGAAAGAAGTCAATTTAAAATCGAAATATGCGAAAATATCAATTACGCTCCATTGAGTGCCTGTGTCTCTATGTCTGTATGTGCACTCCATAAATCATCGTTGGACAGTGGACAACGTGCCGATAATCCAAGCATGGCGTCACCACGACTGCCACCACCACCATCACCACCACCACCATCATCATCATCAGCTGCAACACTACCAGTGCGCCACACTGTCCATTGACCATATATCGACTCTATATCGAACTGCATTCAATCAACGCTCCCAGTGACATAAATGGGACCGGCCTAATTAGATCGAAACGGACCGACCAGTTGAACAAGGCTCACAATCACTCACATTCACACACACACACCAACAGTTGGCCACTGTCCTTTCTTTTTTCTTCTTTTCTGTGTCGTCGTCGTCGTCACTTGCGGCCACCAACGCCGAGTGAATCAATCAGCCTTCAAATGGTGATCTAGGCTGTGAACTGTGAACAGGCAGGCAAATGTTGCAACAACAACATAATTACCTGCACTAAATTAGGCGCCCAGACAATGACCACACAGACACTGACAACACGTGCACAGTAGCACTCCAGTGGCCTGTGGCTACTACAGTCCACTGCGGTGTTTACTTAAGTTTTGTNTCACTTGCGGCCACCAACGCCGAGTGAATCAATCAGCCTTCAAATGGTGATCTAGGCTGTGAACTGTGAACAGGCAGGCAAATGTTGCAACAACAACATAATTACCTGCACTAAATTAGGCGCCCAGACAATGACCACACAGACACTGACAACACGTGCACAGTAGCACTCCAGTGGCCTGTGGCTACTACAGTCCACTGCGGTGTTTACTTAAGTTTTGTACTGGTTTTGGCCAAGTGTCAGAGGAAAAAGAGGCGGTTGCAAAGAAAAGAAAGAAAAGAAGAGCATTAGCGAAAAAAAGGAACACTAGAGAAGGGAAGCGGTTGTACAGCACAGGCTGGTGGAGAAGTGAAGATCAATCGCAGCATAGTGGTAGTGCCATAATCGGATATACAAGGAGACAACAAATCAACAGCGGCCATAAATTATCGGACAAGTAAACACGCAAATGCAGGCAATTATCTTATTGATATCGATATTGAGCTGCTAAGCAAGAGAGTATTACTGTCCGAATGAGGTTAACCGTGCAGACAGGTTGCAGTGCAAGTTGCAGTGCCAGCCAATGTCGATGCACCATTTTGTCGAATTGAAACTGTTGTTGTTGGTGGTGATGGTGATAAGTGTTCTTCTCTGCAATTCCACTGTACAGAAAGTCTACACTGGCTGATTTGAATGATTTTCATTGATTAAATTGCTTCTATTTGCTTCTAATCGGTAGTTACTATAAAATTGCTGTTTTTCAAATTGACAACAGAAGAGTGCACTGTCAAACTGGCAATGACTGTGGTAAAGTGCTTGTGGTCATGTTGCAGCGCAATAATTCAATAATGTAGATTAGTTTGTCTCCCTCTGTGTGAACATACTGAACACTTTTTATTTATATTAATTATAAAGCTTGTGCCTGACTCGGACTGCACTGTCTGGCACTGAATTGCTGCCGCTACCTGATAATGGCCATTAATAAGATTATCTTCAAATGGTACTGTATGTGAGTATGTGCTGGCTCGAGTACTGCCGCACTACTTTTCATCTTGTTTGCCTGCCTGCCTGTCTTTGTGCATTTTAGCATTTCCCAGTAACTCGGTGGCGATCATATCGTCAGCAGCAACACAAGTTAATGTTGTCTTGAATCGAATCTAATTATTGTGCACGCCTATTCTCAGGTTTCCTTGTGCTCTTTTTTCTCCCGTGTTGGCATAAGTTGCAGGCAGCTGAGCAGCAGCACAGTAGCTGGATTGTGATACTTTGCGACTGACGAGGCAAAACTGGAAGTCATTGAAGTCGAGCAAGTCACTTGCAACTGCATCCCAGCCCTGTGTGCACCGAAAGCTTGCTCGATTTCGTTTTGTTTCACTAATGACCACTGATGATGATGATTGAAATGAATCAAGAGTTAATTGACAGGTGAACAGTGCCTGCACTCACAAATGGCTGTCCAATTTGCAAATTGTCATTAGAGCATATCGATCGACGATCGAGCTATGCATGGGGCTAAATTTAAATATTCCCCAGGAACAATCACAACAACACTATGATTACTAGTGTGTGGCAACCGCTCTCCTTACCTGCCTGACGCAAACAGATTGCCACCACCACTACTAAAACCACCACTTCCATCAGCACACGTTTACTTTGGTTTGCTACCCTGCATCAAGCACACACACATACATCCATGTATAATTAATAGATTGCTTATGTGCTTAGCTGCTTGGGCAGCTTCATTGCGCTGTGATTTTTGCAAAAAAAGCCATTTGAATGAAACAAAAACACAACAATTTTTGTTCTTGTGAAACGGTACTGGTTATGCTGCGCATTCATTATCTTATCGCCTCAATCACGTATGCAGAACAGCGCCTCATCAGTGTCTCTTCTCCCTTAATGGCCGTGGTCTTCTTGTATCAGCTGCTGCTGGTATAGTCGCTGGTTGACGATGGTCTGGTTTTTCGAATCGCCTGTTGCCTCTTTACTTGGTCATTCAGGTGGCCAGGTGATG